GCCTAATATGGTGCCCCTGTAAGAGTGGTTAACAAAATCGCCCTGTAGATGCCTGAATTGACGGATGTTAACACAGACGGGCGTTAGAAGAGAAAAAAAAAGTATTACAAATTTTCTTAGATTGTGTAATTGTTCAAGATTTCGGAAAATTTAAATTAGAAATTGTAAATATAATTAAATTCAAGAAACATTTATTTATAGTTATCTGCCCTAATGTGCATGGAAATTGTGAATTAAAATGCTTTATATTTTCAAATACTAAAATTTTACAAACTGTAATTTAGAAAACAAGTACAGCCCGCAAAATAAAAAAATGGACCACCCTAAATAACTTTTGATCTAATGATCGAATCTTCACGTTCTACGCCTCAATCTTAAAGGTTCAAAGGAGTGACCTCAAATATGCGAATTTTGAAAAAGCCGTAATTTTAAAATTTGTTTTCTCAGGAGCAATTAGTCCAATTTCGCTCAAATTTTGTATTTTGCTATTTAAAATTCTTTTGTTTAATATAAGTAATAAATTTTGCACCATACAATTGAAAACATTTTCACTTTTATTAGAATAAAATTCGTAAAAATTATAAATAATTACTAAAAGTTGTTTTTTGCTTTTAATCATCTTTGGATGAATACATTTTATAATTGTGTGCAAAAATGTTTCAATCCGCTGAAAAAGTTCTCCAGATATGACAAAATACGCGAAATGTAAAAGTAACATTAAAGAGTCTAAACTTCGGAGCGACCTCCTGACCCAACAATTGGGACCATATTTCCCAAATTGCGGCTACCTCCCATAATGTACAATTCTATTTTATTTGCGCTGTGTACAATCAATCATATTGCAAATCACTTCTATAATGTCACAGAAGAAACGACATTTTTTTGACAAATAGTAACAAATCGCAAAAAATTTTCGAGTGAAATTTTAAACTTATTTTACTACTTATTATTCAAATATAATCTTTTATCCTTACTTTGCATTTTGATTTATTTTCCTTTTATGTTACTTTAATCAAATAGTTTGCTTTACTGTATTTATTTTTTTGTTATTTTTTATTTCACTTCGCTTTTTTTTTCTGTAAATATCACAATATCTTTTTAAATAGAAAAAAAGACGAAGTATTGAAACAACAAGAACTCTAAAAACTCTAAAGCTTGTCCGACACTGTTAAATTACTCAAAACGGGTAAATCATAAGCTGAGAAATAAAACTTTAACTAGCTAAGTTTTCATGGTAGCACTGAGAAAAAAAAACACGTTCAAAACTNCGTAATAAATTTTTCACCATACAATTGAAAAAATTTCGACTTTTATTAGAATAAAATACTAAAAAATAATAAATAATTACTAAATGTTGTTTTTTGCTTTTAATCATCTTCGGATGAATGAATTTTATAATTGTGAGCAAAAAATGTTTCAATTCGCTGAAAAAGTTCTCCAGATATGACAAAATACGTGAAATGTAAAAGTAACATTAAAGAGTCTGAACTTCGGAGAGACCTCCTGACCCAACTATTGGAACCATATTTCCCAAATTGCGACTACTTCCCACAATGCACAATTTTTTTTTTTTGCACTGTGTACAATCAAGCATATTGCAAATCGCTTCTATAATGTCATTGATGACAAATAGTAACAAATTTTATTTTATAACTTAATTATAAAAAATATTATATTATTTTATTTATTTTATAACTGTTTTGACAAATAGTAACAAATCGCAAAAAATTTTCGAGTGAAATTTTAAACTTACTATTCAAATATAATCTTTTATCATTACTTTGCATTTTAATTTATTTCCTTTTATGTTACTGTAATCCAATAGTTTGCTTCACTGTATTTATTTTTGTGTTATTTTTTATTTCACTTCGCTTTTTTTTCTGTAAATATCACAATATCTTTTTAAATAGAAAAAAAGACGAAGTATTGAAACAACAATAACTCTAAAAACTCTAAAGCTTGTCCGACACTGTTAAATTACTCAAAACGGGTAAATCATAAGATGAGAAATAAAACTTTAACCAGCTAAGTTTTCATGGTAGCACTGAGAAAAAAAAAACACGTTCAAAACTTTTTTGTAGCTTTTGGTGAAATTTACCATGTTTATAGCTCTATGGGAAATCCAAAAGGCTTGGTTATTTTTACCGAAGCAGTTTGGTTGTGATAAAATTAACAATAAGATATGGTTTTATAAGTTTTATAATATATGATAAAATTTAATCAATGTTGTAAAATTTGGTGATTTTATTATAATAGCTTAGATAATGGAGAAAAAGCATTTATTCGGTTAAATTTTCTTTGTATTTATGCTATATATACGGTAATAAGAACTTTTATTTTGAAAGGCAGAATTCCAGGTAAACCGTTGCATTATGACGAAAAATTTTGAAATGAATAATTTAAATATCTTATTTTTTTGTTGTTGGAAGAAATGTTAGTACCATACAAGTACGGTAATTTTACCAAATTTTTCCTGCGTGTACGAACTTTAAAATATGAATTCATTTTTTAATAGAAATGTTTACTGTAATATTTTACTTTCATACATACATTACCATGAGTTAATTGGGAACATTCCTGAGGTTTGAATGCAGATGGATATTTTTATGATTTCAGTTTAAATAATAACACTGAGGTAGTGCCTCAAGTATGACTCTAATCATCTATCTGAATAAATCAATCTGCTATCTTTCCGCGTCCGTAAACGATCTCACTATCTCACAATTCGGCAAGATGCATAAAGGTTGGTAAAATAAGAAGTGAATAATTAAGATTTTTAATATAATGTTTTATTGAATATTTATGAATGTTATTGCATATTGAATACTAATTTAAAGAAATCGTATAAAGAACATCAAAGTTACATCAAAAAGTATTTCTTAGGAAATAAAGAAAACATAAGAATTTAGCAAAAAGCATGCTATAGAATATATTCATTTGAATCTGAGAACGTTCTGTTTCATAATGCATAGAACAACGCAAACCTCCTAGCAAACTATCCATTTCAATTAAAAACCACATTATTCAAATAATTGAAACAAATAAATTTTTATTGAATATTTACAGATGACCCTAACATGTTTACAAACATTTGACTTTGAAAAATGTTTTTTAGCAAATTTTATGATCCGATAATAAATAAAAAATTTAAATATTAATTATTACATGAGTCTAACCCTAAATAGAAAATAATCAGATGAACAAATAGAGAATGAAACAGCAGATACAATAACTATATTGCTTCTTATCCGACTTGCTTCAAAATTTAACTGTCAAAATGTAATTAAAATTGTTTTTTTCCACTCCAGTGTGAAATTTCATGTTTTCAAAATAAATATTGAAAAATTCTACAAGTGTATAAAAGTGCGTTTTTTTTAAAATCGCTATTCAAATTTTGCGTAACCTTCTCTCATGCATGTGCTTGCCAATGCAGAAACCGCTCTACCTTTGTTATCTGCAAGAGTTTTAACCTTAACTTTTGGGACAATGTTCTCATCTACAATTGAATAAGGCAAAATAATAAAAATGATAATAAATAAATGAAAGATTTGATTACTAAAATTACAGTAATGTCCTTCTTTTAGAACAATGTAAAAATTTTCGGATTAAATTACGGGGAAAAGTAACAGCACTCAGCGTGCCGGTTTATTTTATCTTAAAATCCATTCTTAACGGAACATTTTACGGGCAAAAACAATCTGATACACCGTAATTTTTGCAGTAATAATTACCGATGAATCCTTGAATCACCTTAATTAAATAAATATTACTCAAGTAAGGTAAAAATGGATTTTATGGGTGGTGCATCTAGAGTGCTTGTACTTTGTATCAGAATTTTTTTATAGAGTAGTTATTCAGCTTATATAAAAAAAAATTCCATATAAACGCACGTTTTTGGAAGAAAAAAAAACATCAAACATTTCAATAATTGTGAATATTTAATAATTTGCAATGTTATCATAACGCTATATTGCTCTGCAAAGTATATAATATTTCCTTTTACTTTTATTTTCTACAAATTTCATAAATAAATATTCTTACTAGTTATTCTCTTTTTGACAGATAAAGCAATAAATTGTTTTGAAAGTGGTATAAGTTTTCGTAAATTAAAAAAAAATGCTTTCCTTAAAACGATTTGATATTGATTTCAATTGAATTATGCAATATGTATTCGGTTGTGCTGATTAGGTCAAGATAATTACCGGATAAGCAAATTTTAGTCATTTACCGGATCTAAGCTGTATTTTTTACGTTTTCATGACCAAAAGCAGAAACTTTTAGATTTTATACGACTTAAAAATATTTACAAAAAGCATATAAACTGTTACATAATATTAAATACAAATTTAAGTGCAAAATAAAGTGCATATATTTTTACATGTAGCTTTATCTTTGCAGCTTACACTAATTTTCACGTAATTCACCTCCTTTTTACAAAATTTTATCGAAATAACACAAGCATTTTTTTAAATTTTAACAATTTCAGTACTTTAACTGTGTCTACTAATCTAAATATTTTGTAGTTAAAATACCATTTTTAGAATTTCAGAATTTATAAATAAATAAAAGCAATCCCTTTTATTTGCAGTGCACACTTTATTACATAAATATGCACTATATATACATTTATTAATGATAATAATAATAAAAATAGAAAGATCAAATTATTGATGATAATAATAAAAAAAATAGAAAGATCAAATTATTGATAATAATAATAAAAAAATAGAAAGATCAAAAATGTATTTAAATATGGTATTAAATTCTACATCATTTAAATATTTAAGAATTCAATTTTAAAAAATAAATTCAACCAAATGAAGCATAATTTAAAAGTTAGATTTTTATTTTAGAAATTTATTTTAATTTACGGTTATTATTAATTTATTTTAATTACGGTTATTTAATTATTACGGTTATTAAAATTTATTTTAGAAAAGTTTTGAAACATTTTTTTTAATTTAGAAAAATTAATCCAAATATATTATTTTCATAAATACCTTGCATGTATATCCAAAACAAATCCTCTGTTGATAAATTTTATTCCAGGTACAAGAAACACATAAATACTTAAATTAAAATTTAGTGAAAATGAAATATTAAAGATAAGACGTTTAATTTTAAATGATGGCACTTGCGAATTCTTCAAATATTTGTAAAGAAAAGAACATTAATATTATTAAATGAACAAGAAGACCACTATACAGAAACCGTGACCGTAACATCGAAACCATTCATAAAATAAAACCTCGACTTGGGATGTCGAAATCGTGTGCTTCTTCTTTTCGCGCTCCTACCGCGTGGTCGGGGAAATCAGCCAATCAAACGAATTCACATCAGTCGTCGAACACACAGACAAACAGAACCAGTTATTAATCTTCGAATGATGAAGACCCCTTCCCATGCGATTATACAAAACTAAGAAACAGAATTTCTGTTTTTGAATGTTGTTTTCCTTATGAAAGAGATACTTCTTAACGAGTATAAATAGTTTTAGTGTTTCTTAAGTTTATTGGAAATTGATAAACAATTTTTTTACAAAGAACGTTTCTACTTGTTTATTAAGTTATGTAGTTTTGAATATAATTAAGAAAATTAGGTTATTATTATTTTTTTTTATAGTTTCTTTTAAGATTAAATTTTTGATAATTAGCATTTTCCTTTTTTGTATTTAAGATATTAAAAATAATAATTTAAAAATTAAGAAATACGTTTTTAGAAAACATTTTTTAAACTGAATAATTGAATTTTAAGCATTAATTTAAATTTTTGTTAATTTCAAAAAAAATACACGTAATTAAATTATGAATCTCATTAAATTTGCTCTTTTCACAAATTGTCTTTTTAGTAAAATACACTGCATTTAAAAACTATATTTCTCATTACATCTGAGTATCATTCTTTAGAAATACAACTCTTCAAGATTATTTTGAAGCTTACATTTAGAATTTTATAATTTATAACACAAATATTTCTACAACCTTTTGTTTTGTAAAAGCAAATAATAAGTTAATCAGCCCTTTGATTGCCTGTCTCCTAGCATGTTTCGTAATCCATTTGAATATATACTTCAGGAATGATCATTTTAACAATACATGGTTGATCTTTGCTTAAAGGAGAAAATTATGACACATTATACTAAAGAATGCAGAAGTTTTTTTTAATACATGGTATGGCCAGCTGTGTATTATGCAATCATCCAAGAAATACTTCTGAGAGAAAATTTGTTTTTTAGGTAGCTTTCTGCTGTTTCTATATTTTCTGAAACTAATGTTTCTAAATTCACTAAAATGTCAAAAAGAATCTCCTTCCTTAAAGATCATAATATATTTTTAGAATATACTAAGTTTCGTTAGGATAATTTTGAACATTTCAAAAATCAATGTTACACTCTGAACAAAGTATAGTCAAAACAACCAGAATATGGTAAAACTCACTGTGCTTCCAGCTACATAAGGACTTCGAAAAACACGGTAATTTTTACCGAAGCGCTTCGGTAAGGACTTTTGATAAAATTAACAATAAAATATGGTTCATATAAATATTACCATGCTTTTTGGCAGTAAATGTGTCAGAATTTCGTAGTTTTTATCGCGATACCTTAAAGTATGGTATTAAAACCATTTATTCGGTAAAATTTACTTCTCAGTTTATTTTAATTTTAATTAAATCTATACTAATAAGAGTTATAATTTTGAGAACCAGAATTTACGGTAAATTGTTACCATACGATACAAATGATTTAAATGTCGTACATTTTGGTTTTGTCAACTATAATTATTATTTTTTTTAACCAAAAATGTTTTGCTAAAAAAAATAATAATTCTCGTTAATGCCTTTGTGATATAAATTCTCATTTGGCAAATATGAAAATTTACCGGAATTTTTTTCTCCAACAAATTGGAATTAAATTGGAATTTTGTTTATGGTTTTAACAGCTTTGTTAAAACTATAAACAAAAATGTCCCTTTTAAGTAGATCAAATTTCAATTCTGCACTCTAGTGGTCTGAAGAGCGTGAGGCATAGTATTTTTTTTATCTCTAAACTATACAGTTAATAACTTTTGAACTAATTATCAAATATTACTTTTTTGTCGTACGTCTTGCACATTTTTCTATACAACTTCAAATTGATCTAAGAGTTTATCTAGTTATTATTGGGGTTGGGGAGAGAAGCGAACATTAGTGGAGTCTTCTAATGGAAATTTTTTTTAAACTTAATTAGAATTTTAAGAAAATCAAACTTATAAACATTATTTAAAATGAATGAAACAACCGTTATTATACATAATGAAAAGAGAAAAATTCTTTTACTAAAAGCAAGATAATAAACAAAAAAGAATAGTGAATAGCTGTAGGAAGGCATATTGTCTATCCAACAACTATTACAGACCTCTTTCATTCATTTTTTAAGCTCTTTTCTTATCATTTAGGAAGAAAATAAGCATGGGTATTATCATGAGATAAGAACAGACAAGACTGAGAATAGTGGTTAGAGTAATAATAGCAAAATAATACAATACGTGTATTCTTCTTTAGGGAACAAATGTGATGAACAAAAGACGCGCCCAGAAAGGAGAAAAAATTTCTTCAGTTCTTGAAGGTGCGAAAAAAAACATTCTTTCTTACTTTCAGGAATGAATTGTGGTGTTTTAATATTCAACCTTTTCTCAGTAACCTTCTGTCTTATAGGTTACATCTTCAAATGGTTCATTTACGTATAATGTATAATATATTAAAGAGAAACAGCTCTAAACAACTCACTGGAAGAAAAAAAAAACATTTGTAGAGAGAGAATCTCAAAAAGAATAAAACTTTCAACGTATGTTCTAAATAACGGTTTTTAGTAGTAAATAATAATAGGCAAATGCTTCTTAAAATAACAGGTCTAGACATCAAATATGTTGTAGTTAAATGTAGTAAATATGTGCCGTAAACTATTCTCTATTTTTAAAAAATGCTTGTGAAGAGACAAACAGTTTATAGAGTTTGAAGTGTTTAAATAGTTCAGATCACGATTTTTCTCTACGAACTTAAGTTTCAAATCGTTCGGTTACTAAATTTTCATGGTGTTTACTGGTTCCTGGTTTCATGGTTATATAAAATATAGAAAAATGGATTGAGTTAAGATGAATAACTAAATTGCGGAAGTTATTTCCTTTCGTAGCGAAATTTAGCTTAGCAATCGATTTTCCATGTGTTTAATCTAGCTTTGAAATCTCTTTTTTTCATCAATGTAATTTAAATTTATTATCTTCTTTCCATTAACAAAATATATTTTGGAAATATCTGTTTTATTACTGAAGTTTCGTTTTCAATTTGAATTTATGAAATCTAGTTTTGAGATATTTTTAGACTTCGTTTTCATCATAAGGCTTTATAGTTAACTAATAATTCAAAAGAACAAAAAAATTCCAATTCATAAGATTCCAAAAATGTCCATGAAACTCGACATTAGTTAAATATCCATGCCATTTAACTTATTGGTTTAATTTACCACCATACTAATATGATGTTAAGTCAGACCATTAAGTTAGAAGTACTAACTTAAACCATGAGTTTGTACTTTTTAAATTTGATTGATTGATATTATGGTTCAATCTGAATGGAAAAAGTAGCAAATTTTTACGGTATTATTGTGTAAAAAAACTTTTATAGTTTGACATTCAGATGGTTTTTCTAAAAGCATTAAAGACAGTCAACGATATTTATTTAAAAATATTCTTAGACTTTTTTTATATAGCCTAATAATTATTAGCTAATAATTCAAAAGAACAGAAAGATACCGAACAAAGAAAATCCAAATCTAAAGATTCCGAAAATGCCCAAAAAAGTATCAATCACTCCAACAAAAAAGCGACAAATGCAATGTGTCAACACGTCAAGTCAATCTTAAGATCAAGCAACGTTTCTGTGCTGTTTTTTAACGCCTTTTTTTCATCTTAGATGTTTCAGAAATATTTATGACAAATAAGCTGATTTAAGGGTGTTAATTCAGTGATTCTAATATATTTCAAGAACAAAGGCATGTCTTTTTTCGTCGTCAAATGTTACTGCTGTATAACAAATGTGTGGATGCGTGCATGACAGAAGAGGCGGAAATATCTTTGTAGAATGTTCCAAAGGTTATTTGATTTTGACGAACGGATGGGTGGTAACCTGCATGTAACATTTTTTTTCATCAAATAATAAAACGGAAACTGATGTAGATTCAGAGTATAAGAAATACTTTTCAGCAGTATAGTAAATTCCATCACTTAGTTTTAGTTTTTCAAGTTTACATTGCGCAGAAAAAAAAACGGAACACCCTAAGTAATTTTTGATCTAATGATCAGCCACGGACGACTAAAAATGAAAAAACTAGTAACCAATTTTTCTTAAGGCGTGGACATTTTTTTTCAAGTGAACTCTGCTGATAAAATTAGAGCTTTTTTTTGAGAAGCCCCTGTATAGTAGATAATCATTCTGTAAAAATTTAAGATAAGAAGTTTCATATAATCATTTAAAGGCTTAAGAAAATGACGTTGTTAACTTCTTACATAATGCCAAAAATGTTAAACGAAGTTGGAAAATATGATTTGTATCCATTTTTAACCGTGTTCTGCTCTATAACAATTTTTTTACTGTTATCAGAAAAAGTAAGATAAGTTTAATTTTTATTGCTATGATTATATTGTTATATATGAGGATTGTTGCTTTTGCAGTTGTTGTTGTAGTTCATTTACGTCGCACTAGATCTGCACAATGGGCTATTGGCGACGGTCTGGGAAACATCGCTGAGGATGATCCGAAGACATGCCATCACAATTTTGATCCTCTGCAGAGGAGATGTAGCCCAACGGTAGCCCAACGACCTGCACGCGAAGTCGAGCACTTTACGGTAGCACAGTTTAACGAGGACCAATACCGTATATGAGGATTGAATTATTATTTTGTTGGGATTTTTAGCATCCTCAATATTAGTATATTTAGGATGCTATAATTATATTGTTATATGTGAAAAGTTTTAAGTAAAGGAAAATATTACACTTGAATTGTCTGAAAGAAAAATTTTAAATCTATCACTCAACTTACAAGCTATTAAAATAATATTTGAGTGCTATTTTAATATTATTTTGTCCAGGCAAAAGTTTTTAAGGTAACTTAGTCTAAAAAATGTAAGTAACCAAGAAAAAACTAGTAAAAACTAATAAAGTACTAACTAGTAAAATTCAAAATTTTATTATAAGAGATAAAAATTAGCAACGTATGGCGTAATTTATATGGCGTAATTTTTCAGTTGACCATTGAAAAAATGCAAAGAATGCTTTTGCTTTAAATATGAATAATTTGAAATATAAATCATACTGGTGGTTACGATTTAATAATTAAGAAGATAATAAATAAATAAAAATGAATTAAGTTTCTAACAATTTTATATTTTTAGTCACTTGTGGCATCTCTAATTGAACTGATTTTCACGTTCTAGAACTCAATCTTGATGATTAGAGGGGGTGAACTCAAATATGCTAATTGATTAGTGCAGACGATATTTTAAGT